CTTTGTCATATATATATATATATCTCGATCCCAGCTTGATTGACACCTGTGCCTGTCCATCATGCACTTATGTATAGCTCAATTAGTTGCTAATTCACACGGCTGTACTGTCCTCCACAGGTTTGTTCTGTGAACTATATAGCCAGTTACATATATAGATGTCCGGCATGCATCAAAGAATCTGTCCCTGGTTCCTTGTAAGAATTTAGCACCACTTGAGCTTCTCCACTACTAGTTAGGAGCATTTAATGTGTGTAAAACATGCTTTGATGGAGCTTCTTTATTTGAAATGTGATATGCAACTTTGTGATCAACAGGGTACGGCTTCAATAAAACAAAACAAAATATAGCATACATGAACTATTTCCAACAAGTGCACGCGCGTGGGAAAAATGTCAAAAGATTCTTAGCAGAGAATGCTGGTGTACAGAGATGGGTTCCAGCCACCTAGAGTTGTTCATACCACCACAAAACCACGGGCATTTAGATGGGTGTTGCAGAAAACCTAGACACTTGAGGAAATGGCATGGGAGACATGGTGATTATGCATAGGATCAGATTTGCCCTTCTTGAACGAGAAGTCTGCGGTACTGGCGGGCCGGCTCTGGCCGGAGCAAAGCTAGGTGGACGGCCATTGGTGAAATGCAGTACCCCACTATGCAACTGTAGGAACTGCACACCTTCAGTTCAGTCTCCCAGTTCATGATGCATGGGGGCAGATGTAGTCAGAAAGGACGGCAGCGGAGAGAATATTGACATCTCCATCTGGAGAACATAGGTGATATTCATACTCTTTGGTCTCACATTAGTGATTGTTAATTAATTGACTTTTTCAGGAAGACAACATGTAACCGTCTTGAGTACAACCTAAATTAAGGAGATGAAGTTTCAGAGAGGCACACTTACCTTTGGTAGCTTTGATGAACACAAATCAAGCATAGGAGCTTCCCAGCAGCCCAAGGGGGTGTCTGATTAGGCTTACCTTTGGGTTTTGGTGTCTGGCTTATAAGCCAAAAAAACACTTGTTCATGTGCTTTTCGCTCTTGTCAAAAGCCAAAATCACATTAATAGGGGCTTTTTTGGCTTATAAGCCCAAAGCTAAATTTAAACCGACCCAAAAGATCGGTTGGCCTTTTTCTTCCTTTTTCTAGGGTAAGATCAGTTAGCTTTGTTTACAGCACATTTGCACTGAGGTCAAAGTAGGTGCTGTCTAGAATTTCTCCACACCTAGTTGCAATATTTGGACAGGATAAGATAACAGAGCTTGCCACCTACTGGCTGTCTCTTAGCATGAATTTATATATGAATGCCTTCTGAAGCAACTGCTAGGTAATATTGGCATGATAAGAACTAACTGCCCACATCTTGACTAAATTTGATGCTGAGTGGAGTGATGCAACAACCTGATGAGACATGGGAGCACAAGCATACACCACATCTCAGCATCTTTTTTTCTGTAATTGGATGTTGGAATGCTGCCATGGGCAAGAAACAAGAAACTGAGACCAGCAAGTTACTTCTCATCATCGACCAGATCAATTCTAACACAACAATGTATGCTCAAATTTCTGTTGGTTGTGGCTTGCAACTACAAGATACCAAATTTGCTTCAAGAAGAGGTGTCGTTGTGAAGTTTCATCCATTGATGGAGTTTTAGTGATAAAATCAAGTAATTGTATAGACCAAGTTTTTGGAACAGGTAAATATTGGAGGCCAGCTATGTGTCTACTTATACGGCACCTCTGAGCAGATCTTTCTCTTCGGCCTAGCTGGTTCTATGAAACATAAATAGAAGTAGACTAGCTAGTAGCATGCATTCCTGTGGACAGAAGGTGGTCTAGTTGAACAAGTGTTGCTAAATATGCCACTAAGAAAAAAATTTAGCATTCATGTCATGTACACCTGGAGCCTGCTCGAAATTTCCCCCTAGTTTCTCGGCATTTACATGGTCCTCAACTCCTCATGTTGCATGATGACAGTGTTTGCTGCCTCAAGAGCTAGCTGCTCAAGAAAACAGGGACTGTATCAGATAGGGAAGACTGATCCAGAAAGTATGCAGTACAAATGCAAACTATTCCAAGCCAGTACAATAATAATGTGATGCACTTTTGAAGCTAGCTGATGTGAACCTGAAGGGGCACAAACTCTGCATTCCAAGTCTCTTGGGAAGAAAAAAGGGAGGCACCCCTAGTTTCTTGAGTCCTGACCTTTTGTTTCTTTTGGTGAAAAGAGGGCTGTCTATTAACATCAAATAAAATTTATTTAGTAACACTAACAATAAACTCTTGGTTTTGAACCGTCCGCAACCTTCAAATAGACTTTTCATGTACTCCCTCCGTCCCGAATTACTTGTCGCAAAAATGGATGTATCTAGAAGTATTTTTAGTTCTAGACATCCATTTCTATCCAATTCTGCCATAAGTAATTCGGGACGGAGGGAGTATATCATTAAGCCTTTTCCTCTACATAAAGTAAAAACACTTCAGTCATATGTAATAATTGCAAGTGCATCCTTCAAACTGATACTACTCCATGTATTCCTGCAGGTCAAATTTGCACTCTGTAATCCATATACAGTATTGGTAACAAATTTATCTTCAGAAATGGTATCTCCAATTGATTGCAAGCAATCCCGGCTAACTGGTAGTGTGGATTCACATGGTTTCCTAGAACTCTTTTCATAGCTAGCTGATTACTTGGTGGAGGACAATATGTGCGCTACTATTCTTGATCAAGTCACTTTCCAGTGTATCATGTTTGAGCTCACCAATGGTGATGTAGTCAACATATATCTCTTCTGCTCCTGTCAGCTAAACTGTTCATACCGAGGGCTTATGTATGGGTGATCATTCTTTTCACTTTCTCTGTATCTTATACCTTTTGTGAACCAAAAGATCTTATTGGGAACTAGGGAAGAAAGTGAATATATTAAATTTGTTTTATTACTTTCTTTAAGATGGTCGTCAAGGATATATGTGACGAATTCCCGTCGGTGTGACACCGTTGGGAAACACACCTCATGAACATTGTGAGGGAAAGCTGACAGGAATAACTAGACTTTCATCACTGGAAGCCGACATCATCTTTTCTGTTCGAAATGTTCTGCTTTTTTCGTAGCCTCATACACCAGCTTGGTGAGCCAAGAGCACCAAAATCCTGCAGATTAATTAATGCTGGCTAATCTCTTACGTGTTGGTTGCTTGTTAATTAGATTTCAGAATTCACTCTCTTCTATAGCAATTCCTAACTTATGGAATGGTGGTTAATTCAATTAATTCAGGGCTAGCAAGAAATCAATGACGCGGCAACAAACTGACAGACCCCTGTCTCCCAGGCACTGTTTTCGCCTATGTATAGATCATGATTGCCTCTTAGAGCATATTCATGGTTTAGCTAGGCAACTTGTTAGTTAAGTTGTGTAGTGAATAGCTTGGAAACTTTTACAAGTGACTAATTAACAATATCAGAGGAACAACAAATATTGGGAGTCGAAACAATTAATGCAGCACATACGAGAAGGCCATTTTATAGATGTATACATAGGCATATATATTGTTTGCTACTCCTTGCGTTCACAAATATAAGATGTTTCGGATATTTCAATATAGACTTATATACAGACTGAAATGAGTGAATAAACGCACCAAAACGTATGCCTGTTTTATGAAACACAATGAGCGATTTAATTAGTGAAAATATAGTTAGGATGTGTTACATTGTAATTTTGCTTATGTGACAGTCTAGGAGTCTGTCCAGCATGGAGCACCGCGAGATGCCTCACACATATATAGCTACATTATTACTCCATTATCAAATGAATCTTCCCCTCCTGATCACACAGCTTTCCAAGACCAGACACACGTTTTCAAAACTGATTTTGCCTACGTCTCCAAATGCAGCAAACGTTCACAGAGGGGAGAGGGAGACAGAGACAGGAGTAGTTATTGGAGTAAATAGCTATCAAGTATAGTTACCAAATGTGTAAGTAAATCTCAACATCACCCAACTAGATCTCCTGTATTTTTTTTTTTTTTGCGAGTGAACTAGATCTCCTGTAGAGGTATCACTAACACCATAACCAACATTTCACAACCAGCGGAGCGTTTCGTGAAGACACCGGCCCTGCCTGTGCCACATCAACTGCAACGCTGATGATGCACTAGAGAAACTCATGAAAAAACCAAGAAAGAAATATGGGATCTCTCCATATTAATACAGCAGTAAACAAGGTTTAAAGAAGCTGATCTTTCAGTTTCCTTGGCCCAGCCGATGCGTACGGTACCAAATCAACGAGGGAAAACAAGAACCGGTCCGGTGGTCTGTCCACCGGTTTTCAACAAAAAAGGAAAAAAGGGTGAACTAGCGGTTTTCAACAGAAGTAGTAAGTACAGGATCTCAAGGTGGCCGAGGAGCGAAGCCGGGCGCCGTGCGAAGGTCGAATTGTTTGGGCTTTTTGTAGCTATATAAAATTCTTACGCTCGATCGCCATTTACTTTTCCTCGTAAAAATAAATGTACCATCTTTCCCTCTCGATCACACGACTTTCCAAGACTAAACCACACAGACACGTTTTCAAAACTCGTTTTTGCCTACGTTCCAAATGCAGCAAAATGTTGACAGAGGGGGGAGGGGAGTGGTAGCTGCTGGTGTGTTCACAAGGCCGGGCACGGGCAGGCTGATGAACGGATCCCTGGATCTGGATCGATCATGCGGCCAGGAGTGGCTGCTGTACTGTACAGCACCAGCGCCGCGCCCGTCTATATAAGCCAGCGCCCGTCGCCGAGGCCAAAGCACACAAGCAGCAGGCGCATCTCCTCGAGAGCTCGCACTGATCCTTGTGTCACCCGGAAAGGGAGTAGGAGAGGGGGCTCTTGGCTTCGGGACTAGTTCTTGGCTAAGATCTTCTCTCTCTCTCTCTCTCCCTCCCTCCTTTCCTCTCCCTCCAGTTGATACCTTCACTAGCTAGCAGTAGCCGAGTCTTCTTCGCCGTCGTGGTCGCAATGGCTGGGGGCCTCTTCGACATGTCTCACCCGGCGAGCGCCCTCGCCGGCATCGCAGGTACGCAATTCATGGAGAAAATGCAGTTTCATTCAGTGTTTCTGTGTCATTTGGTGCTTCCTCTCTTCCTTCTTGTTGAGCAGTCTGCTGTGCATTTATCGCAAGATCCATCGCCTGGGTTGGTTCGTGCGTGCATAGGGTAGGGAAGCGCATCTCCAAAACCCCACCACCTCCCAATTCTAGCAACAACACATCCTCGGTTGCTGACAAACAACAGAGACACGCACGGACACAGATCACACCTAAAAGGCTAACCCCCCCATCAATTGTGCGTGCATTTCCTAGTTAATGCATTTGTCACCAACAGCTCACCATGCACTCTGTATCGATCTCTCTGCCAAGTCCCCTTTCTTTTCTTGGAATGGCGATTGGTTGAGCGGCGACGGATGCGTGCTCTCCCCTGCAACTTCCTTGCCGTTGGCTGCACCCGCGCACTAAATAAATTAAAAATGAACATTTCTACTACTAATTATAGGTGCCAAAAGAACTACTAATTAAAGAATGTGACTGACAAAACTAACGGCGTCGATTTTCCTCTTCCTTGATCGTGCAGGAAACATCGTCTCCTTCTTCGTGTTCCTCGCGCCAATGTAAGTATATATCTAACCAGCTGCTAATTCATTCCTATCATGCATGTTGTTCAAGTAATCTTTGACGTACGTAAGTACGCCATTGATCGATGCATGTGGTGGTGTTCAATCAACTGACGATGGGTGTCGCGTACGTGCGGGTGCAGGGCGACGTTCCTGCAGATCTACAGGAAGAAGACGACGGGCGGGTTCAGCTCGGTGCCGTACGTGGTGGCGCTCTTCAGCTGCTCGCTGCTCATCTTCTACGCGCTGCTCAAGACCCACTCCCCCCTCCTGCTCACCATCAACAGCTTCGGCTGCTGCATCGAGACCGTCTACATCATCGCCTACCTCGTCTACGCGCCGCCCCGGGCCAGGCTCAGGACGCTCGCCTACTTCTTCGTCCTCGACGTCGCCGCCTTCGGCCTCGTCCTCGTCGTCACCATGTACGCCTTCGCGCCGGCCCACCGCGTCAAGTTCCTCGGCAGCGTCTGCCTCGCCTTCTCCATGGCCGTCTTCGTCGCGCCGCTCTCCATCATCGTAAGCCGCCGTCTCTCTTCTCTTCTGCTTCCATCGTTTTGGCCGGCCATGCATGACAGTTGACATGGCAATATGGCATGCACAGGTCAAGGTGATCAAGACCAAGAGCGTGGAGTTCCTGCCCGTCGGCCTCTCCTTCTGCCTCGTCCTCAGCGCTGTCGCCTGGTTCTGCTACGGCCTCTTCACCAAGGACCCATTCGTCATGGTATGCCACCTAGTAGCTACTTGTTCCCTTAACTTGGCATTGCTGCCACTGCCACTGATACCTTGAGTGGATGGATCTCTGACTCTGCCATGCGCGCATGCATGCAGTACCCGAACGTGGGCGGCTTCTTCTTCAGCTGCGTCCAGATTGGGCTCTACTGCTGGTACCGCAAGCCCAGCAACGCCGTGCTGCCCACTACTACCGCCGACGCCGGCAACGGCAATGGCGGCTCCGCGGACCAGCCGCAGGTGCAGGTGATCGAGCTGCCCGTGCACTCCGTCGCCATCCTGTCCGTGGGCCCCGTCCCGATCCTCGGCGTGCACAAGATCGAGGTCATCGCAGCAGAGCAGCAGACCGTCATCGACGTCAAGGACGCCGCCAAGGCGGCCGAGGTCGACCAGCCGGAGGTCATCGAGATCGTCCCCGCCCCCGCCGTGTGAGACAGACTTCCACCCCACCCAACCAACATCGACGACGACACGACACGACACGAGCATGCATGATACGCCACACGACATGCATGGAGATGGACAACTGATGGGTTTGGTTAATTAGTTAATTATTACTGAGTGGTAGTATCATCGTACTGCAGGGTGTGCCCGCGTGTGGATTACTTACTTTACTTAGTTAATTTATTATTACTGGATTGTACTGCGTGGCGTTAGTTAAGTTATTATTACCTTCAGGTGTGTGCCTCGATCTCTCTTAATCAGTAGTATTAGTCCGCAGGTTGGTGTGGTGACAATAATAATAAGACACGACCTACTACTTGTGCATGTTGTGATGCATGCATGTGTACTGGTCATTCATGCTGTATGTTGCAGTCTCTCTCGTCTCAGACCTTGCCTGATTTGTGTCATCCATCAATCGATCAGTAAAATAGACTGCAATATGACAGTATATTAATTATTAATTGGAGGTTCTTTCATTTACTATGATTGATTAGCTTGGCTGTCTCTTTCTACTTATACTGTTTACTGGCTCAACCTACTAGCAGTGCCTACTAGAAGTCGGCCTACCAAAAGCGAAAAGTGCAATGGTTGATCAAGCAAACAGTGGAATCTAGAACACCACAGCTTAATTAGCACAATAAAGACAAGATTTATTTCACAACACACCCATCAACAAACGCACTGAAACAAGCTCCAAGGAACCGGGCCTCTACTGCCTCAAAGTGCCTGAAAATTCACAATTGGAGTAAGATTTAAACGGTTTCTTGGAGCAACCCAAAGGCAGCTCTTAGAAATGTGGGTGTAGGTTTATAAAAACACGAGAAGCTTGCCACCAGAAACAGTCATCTCCCACCTGACCTTATCGGGTTGCAACTGCAATGCGATACAAAGACATCAAAGAGAGTTTTCCACAAAAAATGCCATGAACAAAGAACCGTGAGAAAGCTGCGGAGGCAGGGATCATGTTAAGAGTCCGGTCAACTGTGGTTTCTCTACCTCCTTGTCAACAGCTAGTGTTTTTGTAGACAACGGAGGCATGCTCCTTAGATCCATAAACCAACTTCACAATCACTGCCAAACAAAAATAAATAGTAGCACAATAATGTACAAAAAAAAATCTAGGAGCCACCAACACCAGCTTAAAATTAGCGGGAAGCAGAAAGAGGACATTTGCACAACAACACTGCAATTTATCTGTTACATTAATTTCTGATGATACATATATAGCATCTCAATCCTGAAACGGGCGACACCTTGAAGGCAGCAGTGCACAAGGTATATCACGTTGATTTCAGTAATTCAAGGATTTCTCTCTAGGGTTTGTGTTGGTCAAAAATAGCCACAAGAACAAATGCACACAAGTTTTCAGTAAATTTTGGCATCGACCATTGAGGTATCCATTGTTTCAATTGCTTGTCCGGCGTGGAGGGCTGGCTATTAGGATTGCGCTAGGTATTCAGAAACGAGCTAATATTGATCAGTTTTGCTAGAACTCATCTAGATGAGACATAATTTGGTCTCATTCACCTTTTATAGCCATTGGATGTGATGCTATAAGATGCGTGTGTGCTGACGTGGGTTGTATTTGTTTTTATTTTCAAAGTGAATGAGACCAAATTATATCTCATCTAGATGAGTTCTAGGTAATCCCAATATTGATTATATGCATGGTAATTTGACCAGGATGGTCACTAACCCTCCTGTCTCTCCCTCCTGTCTCTGGGATGGGAGATGTAGGTGGGTGATGGTGGTGGCTTGTTGTACATGTAATGTAGAAATTTAAATACTCCCTTAGTTCATTTTTATAAGTCATTTCAGACAACTGAAAATGAGCTACACCCTGTCTGAAATGTCTTCAAGGCCTTATAAAAGTGAACAGAGGGAGTACTGTACAAGACAGTACGAGGCTCTCCTACTATCGTTTACCGCTCAAAAAAAAAGGATGATCGCTAAACAGCTGAGATCGTAGTGGGAGCAGCAGCTGCTTGTAGAGCTATTTGGCTCAATAGGAATGATGTGACGTCCGATCGCCAAGTCATTAACCATCGTGATCTCAATCTCCCGTGCCATCTTTTCAGCTTTTTTGCCTATGAATGAACTAGCGGCAGCTAGTCTCAGGCAATCCATCAAACACCACGCGTGCAAGGAGTAGCACAAGGTGGTAAACTGGTAGTACTGATACAGCAGCCAGCACTTGGCAAGCTGCACAAATTTCTGCAACCCACGAGCAGATCATGAGCTGACTACAACAGTCGTCACCACTCACCAGGA